AAATGTCATAGAACATTAAAAAAAAAAAAGCGCACGTAAAAAACTGTTGCAATCTGAATAAGGTCTGTAGTTGGCGAATAGTATCGCACTGATGTTCGTTTCCTGATTTTGCTAGTGCACTGTGGTTATATAAGATACGATCGTTGCAGGGAGCTGAGACCTTTCTGTACTATTTTTGTTGCTTCTTGCGACTCTAAAACTATTTCAAGATAGAAAAAAAAAAAATTAAAAATGCAAGTCCCCGTGCCTTGCCCCATCCTTCCAGCAATTATCCTAAGGAAATAAAGATGTGTACAGAAACAGTCCTAACATCTACCGTAGGAAGTTTTAAAGTAAATTCTCATCCAGCTAGTCGCTCGAGTACTGAGCTTAAGTCGCCCTGTGCGGAGGACGGTGGTTACAGTGAGGGGCGAAGGCGGGCTCTGCAACGTTGGACCTGTGGGACCGTACGTGAGCTACTTAGCATCTCTGTCCTTGGACTCCTCATCTGTGAAACGAACATAAGGTCTACCCCGTCGCATTGTTTGTGTTGAATCTATACATGCAACGCATGTGTGGAACAGAATCTGGCACCTTGATGTGCCCAATAAACATGAACAATTATGTTAAAGAGCAGTAATGATACGAGAAAATGTTGCTATTAGTGAAAATTGGAGGCTATAAAACTGTATGTAAAATATCGATGTTCTTTTTGAAGGACACAGAGATGCACGAGGTCACGACTGGTCGGTCTTACCAAACATATTTCCAAAAACAATTCAATAGCACTAGGGGTTTGAACTTCTCAGATGAGGATAAAAGGTGACCCTTGGATTAAATGAGAGGAGACGTGATGTTACCTCAGCCGCTCCGTGCTTAAAAAACTTAAGTTACTGGGGCACCTGGGTGGCTCAGTAGGTTAAGCGTCCAACTTCAGCTAAGATCCTGATCTCACTGTCCTTGAGTTCGAGCCCCGCGTCGGGCTCTGTGCTGACAGCTCGGAGCCCGGAGCCTGCTGCGGATTCTGGGTCTCCCTCTCTCTCTGCCCCTCCCCCGCTCATGCTCTGTCTCTCCCTCCTTCAAAAGTAAACAAACATTAAAAAAATTAAATTTAAAAAAATTAAAAAGTTACTTCGACACTGCCCGTGAGGCCCAGACGTCAGTTTCGGGGAGATGCCCTTACTTCGGTAAGAAAGAAGGGATGCATGTAACCCTCTGGATGCACGGTTATTGGTTATTTGCTATTGCTACTCTCAGTGTTACCCATGAGCTCTGGGGGCCCCAAGTGCACACGGTCTGCCCATAAAACATGTGCCACGTTCCAGAGACTGGTAAGATGCAGTGTCCAGGGAGCTGGCCCTGGCAGGACGGGTCAGTCACCTGCTCCTTGGAGACCAGGGCCTGCCCCAGCCTCCACCCTCCCATCCCCGCTCCCAGCCAAGGGACACAGGCTAGCGAAGGGGGGCTGCCCTCTGCGCTGCTCAAGGGAGACGCTTCTGGGGCCCAATCCCATGTTCTTGGCTTTTACACTGTCCTTTTTTCTCCTGTAATTGGGCCAGCCCGCAGTGGCTGGGCTTCTCTCCTCGGGCCTGGTTGTTCTCATGAAGGTCTCTCATGGGCACCCGCGGGCACTCAGGCCGCCTATTCATCCTTGTCCGGGGTTCTGGCTCCTTCTCTAACCCTATCAATGACCCTCAGCAGGCTCTGGAAAAGGAACAAGGGGATGCCAGGCCCTCGGGGTGCAGAGGAATTTAGGGGTCAGGCCCCCGCGTGGCTGCAGTGGTTAGTTAGGCCAGGCAGGAACACAGAGAGCTTGTGTGATCTAAATAGACACCCCCTGTCCCTCCAGGAAGCTGCCCCGGCCCTGGCAAGAACACGCTCAAGAAGCCCCTTTCCAACCCAAGGTCTTCCAGCCCGGGTAAGGCCCAGATTCCGTCTGCCAACCTGGTGTCCCTTGGCCAGAGGAGTGGAGAGGAGACGGGGACACAGCCTCAGAGCTGACTCCCCATTCCTGGAGGACCCCAGCATCCACCACACCACGCCAAAGGGAGGGAAATCCCCTCAGATCCCATTTTGGAGGTTCAAAGCGCTCTCCATTCTCTACCCTCACAGGCACCCCCTAACTCCTGGGATGAGTGCCTACTTGGGGCACTTGTGCACTTCAAAGTCACCAGTGGCTTTCCAGGGTATTTGGAATAAAAGACGAGTCTTGGGGCACCTGGGCGGCTCAGTCAGCTGAGCGTCCAACTTCGGTTCAGGTCATGATCTCGCGGCTCAGGGGTCGAGCCCCACATCGGGCTCTGTGGTGACAGCTCAGAGCCTCCAGTCTGCTTCCGATTCTGTGTCTCCCTCTCTATCTGCCCTCCCCCACTTGGGCTCCGTCTCTCTTTCTCTCTCTCTCTCTCTCTCAAAAATAAACATTACAAAGAAAAAAAGCCAAATCTTTACCAGGCCTACTGCTTCCTGCCTCCTCTTGACTTGCCCTCTCCCTTCCTTGAGTAGCTCTGGTCCCTTTGGCTTCCTTTCTGCTACTTCAGTGTATCAGTCTCCTTCCCAGCACAGGGCCTTTGCACATGCTGCCCCTACTCCCGGACAACTTGTCTCTCCTACCTGTCTCCCCACCTAGCCGCATGGAGTCCTGTCATTCAGGTTTTATCACCTCAGAACTTCACCGGGGCCCTGCAAGGTCACCCCTTTCTTCATAGTCCGGGTCACAATACGTAACTGTACGACGTATGTGTTTGTTTGATTGGTGCCTACTCCCCTGCACCCTCCCCTTACTGGGAGGTGGGCTCCAAGACAGCTGAGTCTGTCGAACCATCCACACATCTCCCCAGGGCTACGAACAGGGCAGAGCATGTAGTAGATACGGAAGGAAACAATGGAAGAAAGAGGTTTCCCTCGGTGGCTCTTTGTTGCATGGGAAAACCTCCTTCCCTAGAGAAGGTGGTGCCTGTCCTGGGGCCTTGGGCCCAGGGTGGGGGGTACCGGTGCCACTGCCCTGGCCTCTGGCCTCTGGCTGGCAGCATGGGAGGACCCTATTGCTGTGATCCGGTGGGTTGGCTCCCAGCTCCCGTGGGCCTCCCCACCCGGCATGGGGCACCTCGGGGCCCAGGCGAGGGGAGGTGAGACTGGACTGGGGCAGGGACAGGGGAAAGGAGCAGAGGGGACAGTGTGAAGAAAGCATGAGCTACCAAGAGGAGGCAGGTTAACGCAGCCAGACTGAGGAAACGGCCTCCCTGCAGACTGTCCCAGCGAAGGTCATGCTACCTGCCCTGCCCTGGAAGAGAATCTCCTCACTCTATGCATGTTTTCATCTCTAGGCGGAGAAGAACCGGGGGAGGGCATGTACTTTCTAAATGACTTGTTTCTGTAGAATTATTCATTTCAAACTTCTCAAAAGAGGCAACACTGTCCGAAAGATGCCGAGGAGGTGATAACAGGGAGGGGCCGGGCATCCTGCCCGCCCCCCAACAAGGCACCGCCCATAAACACTGAGGTTTGGCCGAGAGCCTGAGTAGGACCGCAGGGGCCCAGGCAGGCTGCTGGGCTAGGCGGGGTGATGTGGTCCAGTCCTCCGTGGCCAGGCCTCTAGTTGTGGGTGGGGAGGCAAAAATGTAGGTGGCATGGCCCCAGCCTTAAAGGGCCCAGGCGGAGGGGCAGGCACGAGATGAATAAAGCACAAAATTGGCTGAGAAGGACGACTGCAGAAATGGCCCAAGCTACCCAGGTTTAACTCTAATGGGGACAGGGGACCAGGGGTCAGGGAAGATGATGTCCTGGTGGACTTGGAACGATAAAGGTGGTTTAGCCAGGGGCTTATGTGACAAGGGTGGTCCTGGCAGAAAAAAAATTAACAGGTAAAGGCAGGCACGTGGGAAGCGACGTGTGCATTGTGGGCAAATGGCCCGGAGCATTGTGGGAACTACAGGCCCCAGGGCATGGTGGGAATATGGCGTGAAGCAATGTGGGAGCTGCGGGCCACGCGCAGGTGGGCACCAGTGCATTGTGGGAACCGTGGGCCAGGCGCTTTGAGGGCACCGGTGCCTTATGGGTGCTATGAGCACAGGGAATTGTGGGAATCCTCTGCACAAATTCTGGAATAAGGGGGGAGGGGTAGGTGGGCTGGAAAAGCGGGAAGGGTTATTTAGTACAGTTGGGGTTTTCCTGCCCCTTTTTCTCTTATTTGGGTTTCCTCTTAATAGCTAAGAGGAAGTTAGTTAAAAGCCTGCATGCACTTGACTCTTTTGTCTAATTTTTATTATCTGTTTTTCCACCAGAAAAGAAACTCTAAGAGGGCAGGGATTTTGCCACTTTTGAACTCTATCCCCAGTACTGCTGGGCACATAGGAGGGGCTGATGGTCATCCTCCGGCGACGTTGCGCGGGGAAGGGAGCATCATTGCCTGATAGCCTTAGATGTCTGCAAATGTTCATTTTATTACTTAAACCCACACTCGTCTAATAGTCAACTGGCATCCAATCTGTGACTTCATGGATGATACCGCTTGGAGTAAGGCCAAGTGGGGGGCGGGGGGAAGTGAACTCTTTTGAAGAAAACCTTAGGTGTAACCGAGGACAAGGTCCAGGTGGGAAACAACCCGCCCCACCCAAGACTGACAAGACCAGATGGGCATTCTAGAGAGGTGATTCAGGCAGCGGTCCGGCGTACCAGGATAAGGGAAAAGGGTAGAGAGGCTATTCTAAGGGGCCCGAAGACAAAGTGCGTGTTGAGCCAGCGGAGTGTGGTGAGGGGCAGTGGGAGGAAGGGGGCTGGCAGACCCTGATCGGCTGTGGAAGCTGGGGCAGGGTAGGCGGTACGGCGGCTCCCACCCTTATCTGTCTCAAGGCTTAGCCCAGGACCTTCCACATAGTAGGTGCTCAGCAAATACGCGGTGAGGGACCCTGTGAGTGGATGGATGAATCGCTGCGAGCCTCCTCACTCATAATCCGCAGGGGTTTCTCATGCCCCCATGGAGGGGGCAATTAGAAAAGGGTCAGGGGGCATTGTAGAGGGTTGGCCAGCCCCCCACGGCTCCACAGGCGCAGGGGAACTGGCTTCTTGCCATCCCTCGGGGGCTTGGCAGACTGACAGGTTCACAAGATGGGCAGGTCCCACAGCAGACTGGGAAAGTGATAAGGGCAGGGCCTGGCCTGAAGGACAATTTCTTTGACACCCCCATTAGCCCTGTCTAGGGCTGAGAGGGCCGGACGAAGCAGCTTCTCTCCCGGCAGGGGAAAGGGGGAACCAAGGACTCTGCTTCTCCTTCGGTTGCTCACACGGACCTGCCAGGAGCCATTCCGGATTGGCTGCAGGAAACGTTCTATACATAGGTGAGACTCCGTGTTTCTTCCTCCCAGGAAGGGCGAGGGCGGCAGATGTTTCTCTAGAGAGAAATCAGTTCCCCTCACCCCCATCCTGCAGTCAGAATAGCAATGCAAGGGGACTAACGTTTGTGGGGTTCCTTCTATGCACCACGTTCCACTACAGCGTCAGCGTTCCGCGTTACGACGTCATTGTCATGGCAACAATGCAGGATGGGTGCTTTTCGCAGAGGAAGCCTGTGAGGTTTGGAGAGCTGAGCTCCGTAGCTAAGGCCATACAACCAATACGCATCAGAACTGGAATTTGAACCTGGCTCTCCAACATTCTACAACTCGTGTTCTCTCGAATACAGCCTTTGGCTCTGTTCAAAATAGTCCTCTGGGCTCTGTGCCTAAAGCAATAGAAGATGTAGACCAAGGACATCAGACTTGGGACAGAAATATTCCGGGACATTTTTGTGGCTGAATGCTCTGGACCTAGGGGGAGAAAGCCTTCAGACAAATCTGGTAAGACAAGGGCCTGGGCAGACATCTCCTCTGTTCGTTCCACCCAGCGGGAAGGGTGCTCCAGGCAGAAGGCAGAGCATGTGCCCAGGCCTGGAGACGCGAGAGCGGAAGCGTGTTCGCTGCTGTTAGAGCAGAGCAAACAAATGAGGAATCGGTAGGAGGTGTGGCCAGGGGGCTGGGCTGGATTCCTGGACCCTTACCGTCATACTCTTTCTGGAGTAGACTCTGCCCTCAATCAGGCCATTCTCCTGGGTGCCCTGGAAAACGATCCGGTGACCGCGCTCTCCAGAGCGCCTCTGATGGTAATGAGGCTCAGCCCGGAGACCATCCGAGTGGGTGACAGACTCCCAAATATCAGAGGCTGGCATACTTCCTCTACAAGCCAGTGGGTACAGGGTATCGAAGAGAAGGGAAAAAATAATCGTAGCAGTGTCTGAAGAACTTAGACACGGTGTCTTGCTCTCTCGTAATGTATGTTTCAAGCAGCCTAAGGAGTAAAAAAAAGTCAGATTCACATGTCTCCTGCTGCTCGTGCAAAGAAAAGGAGCGGAAGTTCCAAGGCAGCCATTTCACCCGTAAGATGTGTGATGTTGGGAGTCGTAATAAAAAATAAATATTTGGTCTCCGGGCCCTCTTCTGGCACAGGGCTCCTCAAACCTTAGGAATTTCCGGGGAGGAAGCTGATATAGGTGTCATTTGTTACGTTAACGAGGTGACCTTTGGAACCACCTAAGGACGGGGCTGGTTGTCAGGGGAACTAACCATGCGATGAGAAGGTTGGAGTTTTCAGCCCCTCCCTCAACTGCCTGTGAGAGGAGGAGGCTGGAGGTTGAATCAATGGCCAATGCCTTAATCCATTGTGACCATAATGAAGCCTCGGTGAAAATCCCAAAGGACCAGGTGTGGAGTGCTTCCTGATTGGTGGACAGCTTTCAGAGAGCTTCCTGATTGGCGGAGACAATATTCACAGTGCTTCCTGATTGGTAGGCAGGGTTCGAGCGCTTCCTGATTGGCTGGCAGGCGGAGATTCGGGAAGAGTGGGCTCTCAGAGACAGTGGAAGCTCCACCCCATGTTCCACACCTTGCCCCATGCATCTCTTCCACTGGCTGTTCCTGAATTATATCCTTTTATAACAAACTTGTAATCTGGTAGGTAGAATGTTTCTCAGAATTTTGTGATCCCCTCTAGCAAACTAATGGAACCCAGGCAGGGAGTCGTGGTAACCTCTGATCTCTAGCTACTTAGTCAAAAGCCAGGGTGGCCCCTGGATTTGAGACTGGCATCTGAAGTTGAGGTGGGGGGGGGGACAGCCTTGCAGGACTGAGCCCTCAACCTGTGGAACCTGACGCTGTCTCTGGGTAGATCGCGTCCTGAGTTGAATTGTAGAACACCCGGCTGGTGTCAGAGAACTGCTCGGTGGTGTGGGAAAACCCACACACACACACTGGAATTGGGTACAGAAATAGAGACGTGACTGGTATTTTCTGTACTAACACAGCGTGGCCAAATGTCAGTGCCAAGTCATTCAACGCGCATTACCAACTTCTTCCTGTGTGCCAGGAACTGGCCCTGCCCCGGAGGACAAGCAGTGAACCCTGTAGACACAGCCTCTCACTGAGCTTGTAAGTTAGGTGTTAAGCAATCACACTCGAGCTCCTTGGCCAAGGCATTGCTACTTTTCCACCTTAGTCTTTTCGCCCGCAAAATGGGGGTTATTTTGTGAGTGAAGTCAAGAGATGGCTGGGGACTAGTTATATTGGGTTAGAAAGACTAAAACGGTTCATGGAGCCATATCATTTGACTTCCGCCTCTGGCTACTCTTCAGACATTATCTCTTTTCACATTCTCCCTAAGAAATCCAAGAATATTTAGAGTTGAGGACAGAGTATTCCACCCTGAAGCAGCCCAGGCAGGACCATTCTGAAATTTAACTTTGTTTCCTCATGCCTCTGTCTCTAACTATATGTATCTCTCTCTCTCCCCGCCCCCCATAGATAGATAGATACATAAGATAGATAGATAGATAGATAGATAGATTTTTTTTTTTTTTTTTTTTTTTTTTTTAGGATACAGAGACTGCTCTCTTACTTTTATTTTGTTTTCTCTCTTCCTCCTGCCACTACGGGTCAAAGTGTCTAGGCTACTTTCCGAACCACAGGTTTTTCAACATGTTCTCTCAGGGATATACGGGAGGGAGGGAGGGAGGTTGTCTCTTCAACTCTAAGATTCCATGATGAGGCGCCTGGAGATTCTTGGGAGTTGGCTGCTTGTCCGATGCTACTCTCGTGACTGTCTTCTCTCTGGCAACTCACACTTCGCAAGAGCCCCGCTCCTAGGCTACACAGCAGGTTTCAAGTTACTTCGTGTTGGTTTCCGACCACCATTTCTAGGTGGTCCCAGACCTCTTAATTCCTCTGGTCTCCTGAAAGGCTGGCTCTGGCACCTGGATGTTTGTTTCCTCCTGGAGGGCCCCAGGCCCACCAGCAGGCAAACAGACATGTGCTTCACGTCTGTGGATGGACGAGATCAGGGGGAAACACATCTGGTCTGTGTCGTGACAGACAGATGGCGAGAGGCTCGGGAGCGGATGCGGGATGGAGAGGTGGGGAGACAGGGCTGGGAGGTGAGAACGTCTGAAGTCATTCCCCATCAGCAGGACTCCGAACGGGAAAACTCTTTGTAGAGGAAGAGATCTCAGCAAGCCTGGAATCCCTCAGGCCCATTTGACAGAAAGGAAGGGGAAGCTTGAGACGCGAGACTACAGTGTCATAAATGCCAGAGCTGGGACTTGAACCGAGGTCTTCTGCCTCCCAGTCCAAAGAGAGAAGAGACCAGAGGAAACCCCCAGGGGATGTGGCCAGTGGTAAGGGAACAAGAAGAGCTGCTTGCCCTTGAAAATCGCCATTGCCTCGGTCACTCAGCCTTTTAAGCTGCATCCATTTTATGGGTGAGGTTAAATGACTTGCTCGAAGCTTCCCACCGAGAACGCGGCAGAGCCGTGATTGGAACCCCAAAGCCATGGGGCGCCCGATGGCAAATGTTGCCCCCAGGGGATCAGACAACATGAGCGTTGTTTTGCTCTTAAGACACAGTCATCCTCTCAGAGGAAACCAAACCTTCCTCCAAGAAGACTTCCCTGAATGCGCCAAGCCACCAAAGCATCTTCCTGATGCCGATGTCTGAACTCCCAGGCAATGTGCTTTCTCCCACCTTGTTTCCCACGGATCTGAACGTCCACATCTTAAAGATTGACCACTGCCTGCTTCAGACTTCCTGGTCCCAGTTCCCCGCACCCCACACTTCCCACATTTTAATTCAGTACCAAACTCTTAGGAGATGCTCAAAGAAGATGTGCTGAGTCACGGGGGAAACTCAGAGGAAGAGAAACCATGGGAATAAGGACTTGCCTGTTACTGATCCTTGACCTTCCACTGAGAAGGTCTAAGAAAAAAAAAAAAAAAACAACCGATTTTAAAATCAAGATGACTTTCGTCATCTGCCATTGGGGAGAATACAAGTCAAAGCCCGTAGGCCCACGTGGATATTCCAGAAATGGACTGCTACCTCCACTGGTTGATTAAATTAGGATGTGTTCCCTCTGCGTCACTGAAACTAGTTAAGTGTAAGATAGTGGGCAAAACGTCATGGTATAAAGATAGTCATTTAATCCTGACTGTAAGCCTCAGGCACATGTCCCCTGGCCTCAGTCCTAAGTCCCTTAATGTTTTCACCTGGTGCTCACTTGCCAACACTGGGTCACGGCAATGACTGACACCTGCCCCACCCCACCCCACCCCACCCCCCCAACCACCTCTCTCTTTCCTCGGGGGCTCTAAACTTGACCTGTCAGCCCCTTGACTCTGAGGGAGAAGTGAGCTGGATACAGAGACTACAGCGTGGGGTGGCTTAAAAATTCGGCATTCAAGGGGCGCCTGGGTGGCTCAGTCGGTTAAGCGTCCGACTTCAGCTCAGGTCATGATCTCGCGATCTCGAGGTCTGTGAGTTCGAGCCCCGCGTGGGGCTCTGGGCTGATGGCTCAGAGCCTGGAGCCTGCTTCCGATTCTGTGTCTCCCTCTCTCTCTGCTCCTCCCCTGTTCATGCTCTGTCTCTCTCTCTGTCTCAAAAATAAATAAACGTTAAAAAAAAAATTAAAAAAAAAAATTCGGGATTCAAGATGAGCACGGCTGGTCTAACTGAAAATAACCTGGAGAAATGAACAGCCCAAACTCTCAGCTGAAAGAAACCCAGCTACAGAAGCGCCATCACAGCAGGGAGCCCGCACATCACCCTCAAACCAGGACGGAAGGCCGGGAGAACTAAGTCCCCAGTACCCTGCCGGTCACAGAACAAACTCACTCACAAGCTGGATGGCCCCATTCCTCTGCATCAGGGCTCTTCCTCTGTCACTTCCTAGCAGCATAACCATGGGCACGTCACTTCCCCCTTTCGAGCCTCCGTTTCTCTCCCTGAGAAATGGGCATACTGCTCAGGACCTCTTTAGAGGGTAGCGGTTGAGACAAAAACCCTGCGATGGGGCCTGTTCCAGGCAGGCGTTTGATTTTAGCTAGCTTCCATTCTTTCAGCCTTCGCTTGCCCAAGGGCCTGGGGAAAGCCACTTTAATTTCTTTGTACCCCAGGCTCTGTCCCCGGTGTAGGGCTTGTGGAGATTTGCTGATCACCCCAAGGTGTCTTGTGGGAACTGAAAACAGAGCCCGACTCACGGAACGGAAAATGGGTCAGGCCCAGGGGCTGTTTAGCCAAAGAGTGGCTGCTAACCGCACCTTACGCTTCTGCCTTATGATCCGGAGGGGGTCCACCCTCCCCCTCTCGCCGGCTGCCCCCAGGGCTGAGCCTCCAGTGTCCAGGTTTGAAGGTGGGTCACCTTGGCCACAGATTTTACACGTTTCTCTCTCCCTGGCAAATGGGGGTGTCAGGGGGGGTGTGGCAGGGACCTGAACCACAGCTCCCACACCAAGAGTTTTATTATCGTCATTATTATTATTATTATTATTATTTTAATCTAAGAACTAGTTGTGATTAATAGCAGCCTGAGGTTCTGAGGCTCCTGGTGCGGAAATAAGGTCACGGTGAAGATATGGCCGTTTTGAAACCCTGGTGAACTTCAAGGACCAGCGCAGAGTGGTAATCACTCCGGTTTTGGCTCATCTTCCTTCCCTGTGGCCTGTGACTTCAAGGCCCGGGGCTGTCCCTACCTTTCAGACTTCCTCTCATGCAAATTGCCCCAGGCAGGGGTGTGTGGGGTTGGTGGGGGGGGGGGGGGGGGGGAGAGAGCAGAGGGAAATAATCAACTCCAGCCTCCCCAGACCTACTTTCTGTCTCACAGGCAGACCTCTCAGGGGTCCACCGGAGCCCCAACACGGCCTCAGTAAGGGCCTGCTTGCTTCCACTAAAGTCCCAAACCTGGAAGCGTGGGCCTGGAGGTACACCCCATCCATCCATCTCTCAAGAAATAAATGCATCCATCCCATTCAGAGAAAGATCACAGCTCTGAGGGGCTTATGGGTTTTCCTGCAATCCTCTTGTCATCCCACATCTGTAGAGTCTCGAAACCGCCTCTTCCTGACGAGTGGGGCTGCGAGAGTAAGGGCCTAACTGAGCTAACAGGCACAGAGACCGGCGATCATGGAGCCTTTGGGAGAGGGGGCTCGAGGGAGCCCTCCCAAAACAGGTCCCCTTCCCAGCCAGCCCCCACCGGGCACATCGCAGCAAGAATCATCCCGACGGAGGAGTTTGCGTGCTGACCCAAAGGGTGCAGGGGCTTTTCCCTTTGCTGGCTTCAGTTTAGTGGGACACATTTCTCGAGAGCCCAAGGCACCACGGTTGCCCTTGCAGGAAGCAGAAGCGGACAAGGTCACAGAGGAGAGCAGGCCAAGAGCCGGCAGTCCCGCCTCTGTGCTGGGTCTGTGAGACCTTGAGGCCTTCAGCCTCTGGGCTTGGGGCCTCAGTTTCCCCATCTGCAAGCAAGGGTGCTGGACTACAGCAACTCTCCAGTCCTCCATTTCATCGGCGCGCCAGTAAGGAGAGATCTGGTCCTGGCCCCATCCTTGCCTTAGGCAGGACTGACTTGTTCCCAATAAAAAATCTCAAATCCAGATTCAGTGGCTTTCTGGCTCAACCATTTCTCAAGAAATAAACGCGCTGGTGACTATGGGGAGGAGAACGTCCAAACTGGCCCTGATTTGTGTGGACTGATGCACGGGCCCCTTTCCCGCCGAGCTTTCCAACTGGCTGAGTGACTCCCTTGTGGCTTGGGAGGCCTCTGCCCACTGGGATTTGGAAGTTCATGGTGAAGTCTTGTGCGTACGACTCACCGCAGGGTCCCTGCCACTCCATTTACAAAAGGGACACAGGGGCCTCCAAAAACCCACAACCTCCACAGGTTTCTGGGAATATTTCCCACCCTCCTAATGTATGCGAATACCTTAAAAATATTTTTTTTAACGCTTATTCATTTTTGAGCAAGGAAGGGGCAGAGAGAGAGAGAGAGAGAGAGGGAGACCCAGAACCCGAAGCAGGCGCCAGGCTCGGAGCTGTCCGCACAGAGCCCGACGCGGGGCTCGAAACCACAGACCGCGAAATCGTGACCCGAGCCGAAGTCGGA